CACGTGTTCCATGGTGGCACTCCAGGGTGCTCCGACCCCAGCCCTGCTGGCGCTGGGGGAAGGTCTCCCACCGGCATCACCACCAGCTGCTGCCCGCTTTGCTCCCCTGCTCGCCTCCCGAAAACACGAGAGAATTGGGAATGGGAGCAAGAGGTGAGGACAGTGCTCCTCTCGCATGTCCGAACGTCAGTGTGACGCTGGCATGGAGCTGACGGCAACCAGGAGCCGTCGGGATCGATGAGGCCGGTGGGGATGGAGAGGGATGCGAGGGAGTTTGCGGGGAAAAGCGATGCCTGAGGCGGAAGAGCAGCGGTGTCATGGCCTGGAGCCCTCGTCCCAAAGCAAACACAAACACCCCTTAGTGTTATTTTTCCATAGACAAGCCCTTTCATGGATCACGGATTTACACCACTCTTCCTTTCCACCAAAGCATCGAGGGGCTGAGCACCCTGATTCCTTCCTTGTTCCAACCCACAGGGGGTGGGAGCACCTCTGGGAGACCCTGGCACACTTGGAACAGGCTTGCACGGGGCATCCCAACTTTAGAGTGAGGTGGTGCAGCTCTTGAGCACAGCTTGGGGAAACTGTCCATATGAGGAATAAATGGTTTGGGGAATGGTGTTTGGGACAGTGCTGGGCATGGGAGGTGGGGAGAAGTGCTGGGGTCAGGCTTTGTGACCTCGAGTGAGGATCATTGTGGAAACCAAATTCATCCCGTCAGCAAGCCAAGGTTTGCTGAAAATGAGTCCCCTCCTTAGGGTTAACTTTGTCCTAAAACTGTGAGGTTACATCTGTGGCCCCAGTACTTGAGAAGATCTGGTGACAATCTCTCCATTTTCCATCAATTCCTTTGTCTCAAACTGGGCTGCAAACATGTTCAACCCCTCTCCAGTCAGAAATAGGGCTCATGAGCCTGATTTTGGGGACAGGTGGGCAGGACTGGGGATGGGAACCGAAGCCTCAGAAAGGCCACGGCAGAGGCGTGGTTCCGCCTCCAAAATAGCACATGTGCTGGTAAATGCCATTTGAACACATTCTGGGCTATTTCATAGGATATAAGCAGAGATATAGATGATTTGTAGAATGCATATTGAACCCTGTTTTGTGTCGATATTGCAGGCTGTATTTTAGATATACTGCAGCTGTGTCAGGGGAAGGTTAGGCTGGATCTCAGGGAAAGGTTCTTCCCCCAGAGGGAGGTTGGCACTGAACAGGCTCCCCAGGGCAGTGGGCACAGCCCCAAGGCTGCCAGAGCTCAAGGAGAGTTTGGACAACACCCTCAGGGATTGGGTGGGATTGTTGGGTGTCCTGTGCAGAGCCAGGAGTTGGACTGGATGATCCTTGTGAATCCTTCCCAGTTCAGGATATTCCACGATTTTGTGGTATCTCTTTCTATCCGCACGGTTTGCTCTGAATAGCAGGGGATTTTATAGGGAACAAGGATAAAGAAACTGCCCTAAAACTATGAAAAACCTAAGCAAAGCCTCCCCTGCAGTGCCTGCCCACGGTAGTAGAAGGAACCCCCTCAGTTGCCGACACAGTCGCAGTGGGAAGGGCATGGGGCCTCCACAGATGCTGGCACGGGCTCCTTGGGAGAACTTGCTTAGTTTTTGAGCTGTGTCTAAAGTTCATGTCCAGCTGTCTTAGATTCTTTGCCAGATCCAGGCCAGGACCGGACACAAAAACAGGCCCGTGCCCATGGCCGTTTCCACAGGGCAGCACAGGTACCTGCAGCCATCGCCTCCTGGGCTGGGCCTGCTGTCCCTGCTCAGCCTGGCACTGCTGATGGAGCTCTCCATGGCACATCATCCTCTTCCCTGCTCTCCATTCTCCTGCAGGCCTTTCTGAAATTCCTGGACATTCAGCGTAGAAAGACCAGGACCTCACAAGCTGAGGCCATGGCACAGGCTGACACCAGGCTGACTAAGATGAAGGCAAAGCCTGATGTCGGCACTGCGCCAACTGATCTTACAAGCAAGTCTGTCCCTGCCTTGGATAATCACACAAGAAACTCTGACACCACACGGAATGATCAAAGAATGAAGTCTGACACTGTTTGGACTGATGACACAACAAGCACTGACACCCCATCGAATGATCGCATGGCAATCTCTGACGCCGTGTTGACCGATGAAGCCACAAACTCTGACGCTGCACTGCCTCATCTCACTGCGGAGGTTGCCACTACAACAACAACTGTCAGCACTGACTCCACGTCCAGTGACAGTCCGATTGATTCTCCCACTTGGGATTTTTTGGGGAGAGGCGTCGCCTGGCGATCAAAGGCTTTGTACTGCTGAGCAAGGATCCCATGATGGTGAGGAGAGGGCAGTTGGCCGAAGCCGTGCTGGAATCCTGGGGCAGGGCAACGCAGTCGCTTTGGGAGCTGTGGCAGCTGCTCCCAGCTCTGCTGCCTCCCTGCTCAGCTGCCCGAGGCCTTTAGGACAAGCCTTTGGCCTTCAGGCCCGCGGGAGCACCTGGGGCTGCCCTGCCCGAGCAGGGTTGGCTCTGCAGCCGTTCCTGGCTTCACAGCACAGCCTTGTGTTCCTCACAGGCCAAGAGAATGTGCAGCCTCTTGGAAAGTCTCGTGCAGCTCCTGTGGGATGCAGATGTCGAGCTGGTTGAGCTGGCCTTGCCAATACTCCTGAATATGCTGCAGAGCAAAGACATCCTAACCTCCAGCCCCACCGCCCTGAAGCTGGCTGAGGCTCTGCGGCCACTCTTTGACAGTGTAAGGTTTTGTGCTCCCATTTAGGGGTGCTGGGTGCTGCCAGGAAACTGCGCCTTGTGGATTTGCAAGCCAATGCCAGATAGGCCTGGAGAAGCCAGTGCTGAGGCCTCTTCCTCTTCCTTTCCATCAGGACAACAGCCATGTGCAGATCCTCTCCATTCACCTGTTCCAAGAGGTGATGAAGTCGGTAGTGGATGAGGGAAAGAAGCCCTTGAAGATACATGTGGTCCAGAACCTGTTCCCATTCTTCCTCTACTGGCATGATGAGAACCAGCAAGTGGCACAGGTGAGGACTTTCTAGGCTCTGGTGTTCCCGTGGCAGGAGGCTGGACTACCTCCTCCTGGCCTTGGTCCAGGGACACAGGTCCCGTGGTGGGCTGTGGTGCCATCTCCTGGACTCTGTTGCTCTGCAGACCTCTCGGGAAGCGCTGCTTTGTGTAGCCAAATTTCTGAAGAGGAAGGATCTCGAGCAGATGCTGAAGACAGAGCAGCCATTGAAATTTGGCGAGTGCTTGGTAAGGATGGCCATGAAGCCCCAGTCCCCGATGGCCCGAGTGTGGGGCTGGCACTGTGCCCCTGCCCACTGCTGCAGCCCCTGTGGGACAGCAGCCTGCGCCCCAGCCGCTGCTGCCTTCCCTGGGGCGTGCGGGCTCCTCTGCAGCTCCTGTGCCCCCGAGCCAGGGTGCCGCTGGAGCCCCGGCCCAGTTGGGCTGTGGGGCAGGGCGGCCAGTGCTGGGCGCAGGCAGCGCCCGGCCAAGGGGCAGAGCCCCAGCCAACCATTCCCTCTGTGCCCTGCTGCTCTCTGCAGCTGGAAAAGGACAAGAGCCAAGTGGCCGAATATGTGCACCAGGCCCTTCCATACCTGGAGAGCCCACAGGAGCCCCTGCAAGAGGCA